AGACTCTTCGGAGTTTCGTGAGATGCGCACTGCTGATGATTCCCAATAAGGATGAAACAGCTGTACAGTGCTTCTCGGCTTTTCGGCATAGATTGGCTTCACTTACAGGACGAAACCTTCACACAAAATCTCAAATCTCCTCACATTACCAACGTTTTATTTATCCAGTGCCCAGGATGGATGCGCATGGAGGGGTTCCTTGGAAAACAAAGAACGACGGTGGTGAAGCATCAGTGTCAACACTGATGTTGCTGTCTTTTGATGACGATGAGAATACGGTCTTGGGACATTGCTCCTACAGGTTAGAAGTGTTCCCGTGACATTCAAACAGCCCAGTAAATATGGTTTCGAGCCCTTGAAAGTGGGAACCAGGGATGAGACCAACAATGCCGTTCAATTATCTGTTGTTAAAATCGATACCACGGAGAATACAGTAATCCCCCGAGTAGGGGATCTCCTATCCTAAAGAGATCACTTCGCCGTGGCCCGCGAATTTCGTCATTTGTTGAAGGACAAGATATCAACCGCTTACAACGGACCTGAGAAGTTCGGCAGGCCCTACCACTCCCCAAAAAGGAACAACCTTATGCGACATCGGGTGGAACGAACAATACTTAACTTTGCAACCAATCGTCATTTAGCTAGAGGATGTTTAAACGCCAAGTTTGACTCCAACTTGCACAATCCTGATATGGCCCACTGCACTTGACACCAAAGGATGCTGCCACGGCTGTGTTATAGATCGAATCATTAGTTCTACCGAAGAGCGTAGTCCATGCTGATAACACTAGCAACTTTTCTGACTAAATCTCAATCTCATTGCCCGTAATCCTGGACAATAAGAAGTAAACTGATTTTTGTAACATACTACTCATAAGGTTGCTGAAAATCCTCTTGAAGGTGAAATGAGATCGTTTGAATCAATAGAAAAGATGACGTGGGAGCATCGCCGAGCTGATATCGAACTGATTAAAGGGTCACCATGTGGCCGAAGATCACTGGAGCAGCAGAACCTATCACTTGCTGGTTCCCGAAGATAGACCGCGTGTATCGCTTTCAAACGCCACACAAATTTTCCGTGAAAGTTTATTACAGACAAACCCTACCCAATCATGGCACATTGTAGACGAACAACCCTGATTTAGGAACGGTTACTAAGGGAACGCGTTCGAATACGAGGATGTGACCTACAGAGTCATATTGATTTGTCACTCTGTCCTATACGGCGCTCCTCTCCAGGTCACGATTCTGAAGACGATCAGTCAGACAGTTCACAGGAGGATGAAACAGTGCACGGCAAGTAAGGAATCAGGAAGAAACCAAATTAGTAATATTCCGTAAATAAATTAGGTGTTAGTACTAGTGAAGGTGTTACACAATGGTATCGTTGACGAACCAAAAATGACTTCCCGTTACACAATATCTCCTCAGCAAACAATGGGACAACCACAGCTGAAACGGACTTGCGGTTGGGGATAAAAAGATTGAAAAACTGTATCTTTTTTGTACAGTCGTTGTAATGGACAAGCCTTTATTCGCAAATGGAGTGGATAGCTACGCACCAGATATCCCAACTACTGTGTAAGCCCATTCTGATAGCACACAGGACCAAACCAGTGTGCCGATAATTGTGAAATTTCTGTCCAACTTTGTTGGCGCCTTACAGCTAGTGTGGTGGTCGATCAGTCAAGTGGAAACTCAATCGATCGTAGTGGGATGACGCGTGGGCTGAAGTCATTGTCTTCACTGAAGCCTACACGCGTGCAGACACATCGTGTGGCTTAGCTCGTTCCTGGTTTGCTATCCCTGTAATCCTGATATGGTTTCTCGTCAGTCGATGGTTCCGCTCCTTCTTCGCAGTATGTCGTCACTTAGAACCGGTAAAACAACAAATAGGGTTCCGTCAAAGATCACAAAATATCGGACAGATAGGCGTAGGACATTACCGCAACGTATTATGCGCGGCTAGTTGCGAATGGGATAACGTGTGTTTGTATGACGATGCTCTTTTACCTCAAGTGAACTTACCTCATCCAACAATTTCGGTACAAATATACATCTTACACGAGTTGGTTGCCTAGCTCTGTGGATCGATCGACTGAAAAGTCTAACACAGACTAACCTCCCGGATTTCTGCTGAAACGACACGCTTACTCATCCCAGATATTCCCAAAACTGAGAGAACAATTATGGAAACCAGCAGATACTACTTGTCAGTCTGAGGATAGGGCGGCTGGATTGGAGAGGTGGCTCAAGTGGTTGGAGCGCGAATTCACTGAGCACGAAGGTCTACGGTTCGTCTAGGCTTGGGCGACCTGGAAGTATCCCAGCCCTCGTGCTTCCTTCCCGTGGCACGGCAGCTAAGCACCGAACAAGTATTACAGCCGAATGATTGCGGTTGGAGGAAAGTATTAATGGGATCGATAAACTTAGCCGATTCGTAACCAGTGACCATCAAATTCGGCAAATCCCAAGTCGTTTATTCCCCACCAATTTTAATATCAGTATCCATTGTGGGAGTTTAGGATGGCCCTGGTAAGCCAACCAATAACATTGAATATTTGAAAGAACGGTTAACAGCCCTCGATGACTGTGTTTTGTCATTAGTTGTGAGAGACGGAAATGAGCGTTTTTTTTGGGGAGGGGGGGGGTGTAAGAAGGAGTCATATGGGCCTAAACAGTTGTGACAGGGGCACAAAACGAGTACAGTCCTCTGACCAATGGCGATTTGATGCCGAGGCATCGTTCCTAAACAGTTGTGACAGGGGCACAAAACGAGTACAGTCCTCTGACCAATGGCGATTT